TTTAAAGTTTGTGCGTTTTGTAGATTAAGTTTTATGTGTAAAATCGTACAGAAAAGCACAGCTTTCTCACAGTCCAATGCTATCAACTCCTACCAATGTAGGAGTAACATAGCATTACCGCAACATATATATTTTGTCAAAGAATTGGTCTCATAGTCTAAAAGGATAATATGTATTTTAATTGACTATATTGTTGCAATGTTTGCATCGTTGTGATTCGTCATAGCAAGCCTTTTATGTGCTCGCTTCAATGTGACTATGAAATCCTAGATAACAATATTTCGACGACTTATTCGATGTCATTGCATAGTGCAACACAATGCCTTAGTAAGTTGTTATTGCGCATTTGTGGCTTGGAAAGGAATATATCAACGATTGCATGGTTACTTTGAACATACAATGTTGTAGCAATGATTCACTAAGAATCTACGTTGTTTGTATTCTGACCATTATAATGGTTTATAATATTTTTTATAAATATTACAAATTGGTGCATAACCCTTACAATACATATGAATATATGAAATTATATATGTATATTAAAAACTAGCTGTGAGTGGAATTCTGTCTTAAGGCAATTAGGGCATCGTGCCTTAAGGCAAATTGCTGGAACTTCCCGTACCAAAAATTATTATTTTTTTAAAAAACGATTAACATTTTTGAAAAAAATTTACTTCGAAAAAATAAGATTTTTGAAAAACTATAAATTGGACAAAAAATTACTTTTTTTTGAAAAAAAAAATTTTTTTTTTAAAAATTTTTTTTTAAAAAAAATTTTTTCTTAATTTTTTTTTTTTGAAAAAAAAAATGTTTTCTTTATTTTGACATATTTTGGAAGATCTGAACTTGTTTTTCAAAGCAATCGTACTGCTTTAACTGCATAGAGACAAAATATAAAGCGCGTAAGCGCGGCGTCGCTGTCTAACGGGTATTCGGAATTGATACGGAACCCATAGGTAAATAAACAAAATTTATACTTATTGTTAAAATCTCTATAAAATATCTGAAAATTTGATGTGCATATGTCTAATGATCATTTTTGACCGCCAAATGGCATTTTTTTTTACTTTTTTCGTTAGATCTCCGAAACCGCTAGACCTGCCTTTATGAAAATTTGATCAATTCTTTATCTTGTCAATACAAGTAAAATGTTTTTTGAATTATTAAAATCGGACGCTCCGTTCTCTTAAAAACTGAGTTACCGTTTTCGGCACTTTTTGCCCCGTATCACCGGAACGGCTAGACCTGCCTTTGCCAAAAACTAATCAGCACGTCTCCTTATCAATACGAATCGAATGTTTTTTGAATTATTCAAATCGGTTGATCCGTGTTCCCGAAATCGTCGACGGAAATTTGTATCCGCACATACATACACACACGCACACACACACACACACACACACACACACACATACATCCATTTTTTCTAAGGTATGCCAAAATGTTCAGAAACCTCTGAAACGTAAAGATATATAAAAATTTTCATTTTCTGCGATTTTTTTGCGATTACTATAACTTACCCTACGGGAAGTTAATAAAAAAAAGGTTCAGACGTCCCGTCGCATGGTATTGGAAAAAAACAATTTTCAATTGAATACTATTTGTACTATATACATTAAGTAATTGTGCCATTGCTCGACGCGTCGCATCAGTTATAGAAAGATAAAAAATAGTATTTATTAGTTCTAACATTATTATAGACTGCAAAAAATGTATTTAAAAGAACAAAATCATACAAAAACCAAACCAAAACTGTTACATAACTGTTACATACACATAAAATAAATAAAAAAGAAATCAATCAAAGTGTCCAAATCTTGGGTTTTATCCCGCATACCAAAATAAACCAAATAAGGAGATAAACAGTATTTTCCATTTTATCTTTGAATATCAATAGAATAAAAATTTGGGAATAACTTTTCGTACAAATTCCTGCGATGCTATTTACGGCTTGTTTTGACTTTTACGCTTTTCTGTAAATAACACCGCGGTTATATTGGTATCTAAATTATTTAAAAATATTCCTAATGTTAGATAAGTCTTTTGTTTTAATTTCAGAATACTCTAAAAGCAGCAATACATCAAAACTGTAAAAATTCAAGTAACACTTTGATGCATTATATGACAATTTATAACGCTTTTTATTTATAATGTCATTAACTATTTTCACAAAATAATAAGCAATAAGAAACCAATAGTTTTTCCCAGAAAATTATTCATACTAAATTTAAAGGGGATTTGTGAGTTATTTATACATAGAAAACATCAGCTATATGCCATTTATACAACCATTATTGCTTACTAAAAATAAATTTTCAATTTTATGTAATATTAATTGATTTCCACTAAAAGATTTGCGAAGGATCTGACGAAAATGATGCAATTAATGTACTGTTATAGACGTTTGCCATTTCGATACGACATTTGCGATAAAAAAGTAAAAATAAACAATATTCATATTGTGGTTACATTATTAATAATAAAAAGTTTCTAGACATGAAGTCTGGTTTTTGAGAAACGGCGCGATAACATGCTATTACACTCAGAACTATTGCGTCGTTTGTTTATAACAACATTGATAAAATGTATAAATTTATTTAATTATTATATGAAAATTGATTTGTACCTTTTGAATAGTCAATAAACTTTTTTTTTCGATTAAAACTAGTGGTGCATGGCATCGAGCTATAAGGCAAATTGCTGAAACTTCCCCGTACCGTATATTTGAATTTTTTAAAAATAACATTAATCGTTACTCTACATTAACATAAAAAAATTATTAAAGCGATGTGAATCTTTCCAGATTATTTCCGATAATATGAAATAAAATATTTATTAAAAAATCTATATTTGTTATTCAATTACGTGAGTAGACTGACTATGTATGATTCACTAGCAAAATATATATGTATTGAACGGAATGTAATGCGGGTTCATTGATAAAATCTAAGATTTTTTTGTCGTAGATAATTTAATATATGAAAATCACAACCTCATGGAAAATAAAAAGGTTAGGTTTTTTATTTACAGTCTATAATTTTTCAATTAGATTGTCTATATTAGAGAAATTTTATAAATGGTCTGAATATATGACCTAATTTAATAAAATGTATATGGATTTATTTAAATTGAAATTAAAGTATTTGAATATATATAACGTAATTAAATTGAATATGTAAACCATTTTCAATTTAATAATATTTTTGGCATTCACGTCATTGTTTTTAAAAAATGCAGTTTTCAAAACATTCATTTTGCATACTTTTGTACTGATTATTTGATAATAGTTATACCTTCTATTCTATTTTAATTTTTCACAATTTATGTATAGCTTTGTGAATATGTAAATAATGTTCGTGAACAATTTTAATAAAAAGCAGATGGATAATGTGTCCAAAATAGATGAAATGAAATATGAAAATATTAATTATAGTGTTTGGCAATATAAATATTATCTTCCACTAATGTGAGCATTTGAAATATTATTTTATTTTGAACGTTTATCAAATCAACGCTAAAGTTTTTATGTTATCTTGCCAGGATAATTATTACAAATTTCATTTATGATCTTTTGACTTAGAATATTTAATCCGATAACATCAAAGCCCTATGATAAATCGTTCATGATGAATGAGTTATAAGCATTTGAAGATTTCATATATAGAAAATGCTCAAAAATGGTCGAAAAATATGTTAGTTCATTTTTTATTTTTTATAGACTTAACGAGCACGTAGAAGCTTCAATTAAACACCGAATGAATTATCACATAAGCTAGAATAACGTAAAAAAACTGCATTTTAATATTCTCAATGGTTGCAGAATAAATCGAAAACACTGAAATCATACCATGATCCACTGGTCATGCCTATTTTCAATATATTTATATTTATATATATTTATGTTTGTTAAGTTTAATGTGGGTGTATTCTAAATAAGTATGATGTTGATATATTATAAAATTTTTATATGCATTACATCAAATTCAAAACAGACATGGACCAAGGATATATCAAATATATCTATTCTCTTCATAACACCGTTTAATTTTCCCAATTCACCACAACAATATTACAAATTACTTGACAATAACTAACAAGTTTGATGCTAATTATGTTGTTGAATACATATAATCATATAATATGATATGATTCTTCACATTTCTATAACAACTGACTACATAAGATCATATGGGGAATCGCATGAAATCATAAAGGTGCTCAAAAACTCTTTCTTTTAAATTGATGTAATAACTCTGAAGATTTATATATATATATATATATATATATATATATATATTTATATATATATATATATTAACTACAACTACATTACATTAGTCGACAATATTTACAATCAGCATATTTATAGTTCTAAAAATCCAAAACAATTTAAAACAATGTTTTCTGAACACATTATTAACTTCAAACACTCTTTTAATACTGACGATCCTATAATTTTATATGAAGAAAAAAATCCTTAGAGGTCCTTAGAAGATTTTCCGAATCATATTTTATTATTTATATTCTAATTGTGTAAATAAACGTAGCTTTTCTTGATACTTTCAAAAAGTTATCAATTTTTTTATTATTTTTACCTTCAACTATTTTTGTTTTCCTACAATAGTATCATGTGATTGTTGTGTTAGTTGTAATTGTTAATATGTTTTTTCTCCTGGTTTGGTTTGTATAATCTCATATGTTTAATTGTTGCATTATTAATTCTAATTTTTTTCCTTATATTGTAAATTTATGCTAGTTAAATGATGAGACACATCTAGTCTTGAAACGAACAAATTTAAAATAAATATTTCTTCATTCGACGTATTGGCTATTTTATTCATTTCAATTTATATATATATTTAAAGTATGTGCCAAAAAAAGTACTTCTATCCCACACAATTAGAATGCAATTTTATAATATATGTATATATATATATATATATATATATATATATATATACAGGAGTCAAAAATAACTAAATAGAAATTAAAGCACATACCGATCAATGAGAAACCCTCCGATAAAACAAAGCACAACATTTGGCCAAGAATATATAGCATACAGAAATACAAATTGTGTTGTAGATAATCCTAAGTCTGAATTAAAGTTGTCTTGTAATGCTCCTGGATTGTCATAGCAGAAATAAGAACCTGAAATAAATTAAATAAATTAGTGAATGATAAAAATCTTTAGTATTTGTGATTTTTTTTTTTTATTAGAATCATAATATAACTTTTATACATCTCAGACAGAAGGATGTGAGATCGTACAAAATATCTATACAGTAATATATCACTCATTATATCATTTTATATCGTGTATTCTATAATTCAATCATATGTAAATTCATTTTTACATTCATACTGGTAAGGATCACTAAGATTAATTAGATATTAAGCAGACTGTAAATTATAAATATTCTATCATCATATGATATGTGAATAAATCCACTATAAATTTTATGATATATATTGAACTTCAATCTACAACCTTCTTCTCTCGTTACTTTTGCTAGTCTCTCTTATTATTAGAAATTATAGGTATTTTTATTCATTCAATTGTTTCCCCTTCTCCAAAGGGTCCCGAGTTAAATAGAAAAGGCCTTGGTCAAATCTTGACCACATACTTTGGTCTAATTTATTTATCTAGATTTTCTTTATAATATTCTTTTAACTTTAATTTTAAATTAATTCTTGTCTTTTGTCATCTATATCTCTTTCAGAAGCACATTGAATAATTTCATAGCACTTGATATAGTGTTTTGCCTAGTTTTATTTATTCTTGTTTGTTTTAGATAAAAAATTTCATGTTGATTTGTATCGTGCTTGAGTTAAGATTAAATGCTATGCAAAATTTGCATAAGAAATTTATAGTGTAGATTATTTAACTACATATAATGTAATAGGAATTTAGGGTAAATATAATAGAAATATTATAATATAATCTTTATAACATTCTTTAAATTTATTCTCTTCTATGGTCATCCTTATCTCTTTCGGAACCCCATTAAATAATTTCATAGCACTCCATATAGTGTTCCGCCTAGTTTTATTTGTTCTTGTTTGTTTTAGATGAAAATTTTCATCTTGATTTGTATTGTGCTTGATTTAAGATTAAATGCTATACAAAATTTGCAAAAGAAATTTATAGTGTAGATTATTCAACTACATATAATGTAATAGGAACTTAGAGTAAATATAATAGGAATAAATTATAATATAATCTTTATGATATTCTTTTAACTTAATTTTAAATTTATTCTCTTCTATGGCCATCCTTATCTCTTTCGAAAGCCCATTGGATAATTTCATAGCACTCGATATAGTGTGCTACCTGGTTTTAATTGTACTTGTTTGTTTTAGATGAAAATTTTCATGTTGTCTTGTATAGTTCTTAAGTTAAGATTAAATGCTATACAAAATTTGCAATATAAATTTATAATGGATTATTTAACTATATATGTATGTAATAGAAATTTAAGATAAATGTAAGTCAAAATGTTCAAACGGAAAGGCATAAGAAGAACTAAAGGATGATCAACGCTCAGATAATGCATAAATTTAATATTGTCATTACATACATCTGTTTACAATCATTATATTTAATGAATATGTATAATTATTAGAAGTCAAGTCTTTATCATTTTCAAGGAATATGCACAAAAGGTTAAAATTCTAGTGTAGGGCAAAAAGTGAAAGTCAACCATTTATAACCTTACAAAAAAAGTATTACTAAAAATTGAATTACACTTACCAAAACCCATAAGACACATAAAAATTAATGCAATAAAGCGATGGCATCGATTTTGTGGATTACAACACCCAACATCTGCACAAGAAACATTTTCTTCATCATCATCACAGCGTTCTAATATAGGATTAGTTGGACTTTCTTCGTCCATCGTGCACAAACTTTGCGTGGATAGTAAATCACAAATAAGGGGATTATTCAGTAATTGAATTTCATCACAACAATTTAATAATGCGCGTCAAATAATTTATCTAGCACAAATTCAAAACGTTCTAAACACTAATAATAAAATGATAACGCTTTTTGTTGCTTGACAGATGACGTTTCGTCATACCATGTGCACTGCGCGGACTCGAATGACAGTATGACAGTATGGAATAGTAAACAAGAAGTCTGAGTGGACAATGACTCATCCGTTTCCATTTCCTAGTTCAGCAAAAACTGGTATTGAACTGATGGTGTTATATACCAATTAAGGACATTCAAATAAATCATTATTACTAATGTTTAAAATACTTTTCACATTATAGTTTATATATAATTATTATATATTTATACTTTTAACAAATAGGCTTTATGATAACACCATCAAAAAACGATGAGTTGTCGTACGGCCGTAATATTTTAGTATGATCTATAAGACTATGGTATCTACCGTAAAAAGAAAAATCATAAAAGTCGTAGATTTTTTTTTAACTTCATTACAAGAAAACGGCCCGACCGATCTTTACCAAAAACTAATCAGCACGATTCCCAACCAATATCTTCCAAACGGTTTTTGAATTTTCAAAATCGATTCAGAATTGGGCTAAAACGTAAAAGAAAATTTTTCACATTTTTGGGATTTACATAGAAACGGCCTGGCTGATCGCGCAAAACTGATAAACGCTAGTCCTCATCGAGACACATCGAATGGCTTTTAAATTTTTGAAATCGGTCCAGCCGTTCTTGAGGAAACGTCGATTTACGGCAAAAAATCTGTTCACATACACACACACACATACTTTTTCCAAATTTGGTCTCATTCGATTCAGAATGACTTGAAACGTCGAGAAAACATAAAATTAACGAACCGGATTTTTTTAAGAAAACAAACTTTTCCTTCGGGAAGTTAACTAACAGTGGTGCATGACATCGTGCCTTAAGCAAATTGCTAGAACTTCCCGTACCGAATATTAAATTATTAAAAAAACTCTGTAAAACTTTGAAAAAATTAGATATTTGAGAAATTTTGGAATATTTGAAAAAAATTGACTTTTTTGAAAAATTTGATTTCTTTATATTTTGATTTATTTTGAAAATTTTGAACATTTTTTTTTATCGTGCTGCATAGCTATCGCGCTAATCATGATTTGAAGTCGAAATATCAAAGCGCGTGAGCGCCGCATAGACGTCTAACGTGTAAACATTGGTACGGAACCCACATAATGTACACAAAATTTCTACTTATTATTATAATCTTAATAAAATATCTGATAATACGATGTACATATGTCTAATGTTTCTTTTTGACCGCCAAATGGCATTATTTTTAACTTCTATTATTGGATCTCCGGAGACGCTGGCCAGCCTTTACAAAAATTTCACTAGTTGTTTATTTCGTCAATACAACTATAAAATGTTTTTTGAATAATTTAAATCAGACGCCTTGTTATCTCAAAAACTGAAATGCAATTTTTGGAACTTTTTGCTCCGTATCTCCGAAACGGCTAGACCTGCCTTTGCCAAAAACTAATCAGCACTTCTCCTTATCAGTAGGAATCGGATGTTTTTTGAATTATTCTAATCGGTTGATCCGTGTTCGCAAAACTTATATCCGCACACACACAAAAAACACACACATACATCTATTTTTTCTAAGGTATGCCAAAATATTCAGAATATTCTGCGATTTTTGTTACACTAATCTGCTCTCTCAATCGTTTCGAAAAACTAACCATTGCAAGCCTTAATTAAATTTAATCAAATTTTTAAATCGATTCATAAGTACAAATTTTGTTTTACATATATGTAAGAGATCGTCCATCATCGGGTGATCGTTTTTTTAATCCTGATCAAATAATTTTTCATGCTGAATAATATTTCATTTAATAAAATACATATCTCGATAAATAAATATTTTAATATTCGATAAATTATTATAATAAAATATATAAATAAAATATATAAACACAGAAAAAACAAATACTATAAAAGTGCTACACATAGATTTCCCCAAAATATAAAATTTATACTACAGAAAAGTATGTATATGCACCAGACTTGTGTTAATAAACAAATATTGTTTATAATTATATAAAGCACAGCACTTATATTTAGTTTGGTTTAGTTACCTCCGATATAGCTACACAAGTGTAATTATTTTTATATAAATATTAATTTCCTATAAAGTGAACTATACCGTGTTATTTTTACATTATATATGTGTATAGTTGTTTTAGGTTTCAGGCAGTCTTTTTAAGTTTAATATATTGTACATTGAGTAAAATTTAATGGTAAAGTCATCATAAAATTACCTAAAATATTTTCAATTTTGTGAAGTAATGTACGAAAATATCTTTAATAAACTAGAGTGGAGTATTTTAATTATTTCAGCAACCTGAGAAATATAAAACAAGATCATTATTATTTAAACCTTATTTAGAATCAATGAATATATAATTATTTTTTGATTAAGAAAAAAAAATTACTATAATTTAGACAAAAAATAAAATTCAATAACATTGTCTACAGGTAATATTTATAAATTCTGAATGAGTACAAAAAACTCACTCAAGCTTTGTAAAGTTTTATGACCCATTGTTTCATATATTTCCGAGTTGTATAACATGTAAATCTAAAAATAGATGTTTCATTCATATGTTGCTAAGAATGATTTTTAATTCTACTAAAAATCATCCAACGACTTAATGTATATTGCTGGCTAATATTATATATATAAAATACTGCCCTTCAGCAATACATAAATATATTTATTCTGGATCAGGAGATTCTGCTTTAACATCTGAAGCACTGATCACTGTAGTTTGAGGGCAATCTTTCTCCTGTGCGAAGTAAGCAGCCGCATCAAAGGTTTCACCAGTCTGAAATTTTATTGAAAAAATAATAATTACAATAAGTTTAACCCCTTAGCTACGAGTGTCGCCTCTAGGCGACATTAGCCTGACGACCTGTTTGTACGAGTGTCGCCTTTAGACGACATTCAGTGTATCGGTCAACCGTTGCTTCAATATTTATTACTCTGTATCTAAATTTCTATTTTATCGAGGGTAAAATAGAAGGAACAAAAGAATTGGGAAGAAGAAAAATGCAGACGATTGACGACTTACGCGAGAAGAGAAAATAGAGGGAACTGAAAGCCGAAGCACAGGATCAAGAAGCATGGAAGCAGAACTTTGGAAAGAAAAATACATGAAGTAAAAACATGGGGAGGGAGAATAGTGGTAATGGGTTGAAGGGTAAGAGAGTCATTTATTTGTGGTGGATCTCACACCATGGACCTGCCTTCCGGCAGACTATCATTTATTATTACTATTATTATGCCTCGAAGCAAAAGAGTTAACATTTGAGTTAAGACTTAACGTTTTAAAAGCCAATATAGTCTGCAAAAGGGTTGGAAAACTTCCACCTCGTACAACATCTTTTCATACAGATTTGGCATTTTTGCACATCTTCAATATTATTTACTTTATCCTTAATATTATTAACAAAAATACTTTACTACAAACAAACAAATAAGAATTCTAAAACTTAATAATAAACATTCACAAATTAGTTTTTTCATATATTATTTACAGGTTACATGCTAATAAGAATATTGTTAATAATAGCACAACATTAGTACATGTAATAGTGTTAAAATAATGAAGCAAATCTAATTAATTATGATAATGAATAAAAGGATTAGTTTGGTTGTAAAAATTTATTGATGCACAATTCTTCAAAGCAAATAAAATAAAAAGTGAAACTGAGATCATACAAGCTATGAAAATATCACATCCATCTTTTAATATCTTTGGGTATTTATCACTAATCTTATAAGTTACAATACATTTAAATCAATAACAATTTTAAACAATATAAACATTTGAAACAGAAAATATATATCCAACAATTTTGAATATGAAAATATTAGATTTTATAGTGATTGATTGCAACAATATAATCCTTGAATAGAAAATTGATTTGTTAGTCAAATTTAATTTGATAACAGCATTCTAGTTTTTCAAGAAAAATATTGAACCAATAAATACACTAATAAAACAATATATAATCTTCTATATATAACTATCACAGTTCATAACTATTTGGTTACAATTTTAACTTTTGGCATTTTAGTTATAATACAAGTCGGTTGTTAAAATCTCGTTAAATAGAAATAGTTGTTTGAAAATATTTTTCATTTTCAATAATCATTCATTGAAATATTATGACAAATATTAAATTTAACGTGAACTCATTTTCTATTAACAAAATAACAACTATGAATTTGCCAAGATCACAGTTAATGTAATAAGTTTTTGTTGACAAAATATATATTATACAAGACTAAAAAAAAGTCTTTTGCTTCGTTATTTGAGAAATGTAATATTTTTATGTTAGAGTATGATCAATGATAGTTCAATTTAAAATTGTGTTAAAAATGAAGCGGATAATGATAAATTAGTATGTGCTGTTCACTCTTCTTGTCGATTAAAATAAAATAGTCTAGAGTTTCCTTGATCCATATTAGTATTGATTGTTATTTGAATGCGAAATAATATAGTTGTTATTTTCAAAGGTGTAGGCAGTTTTTCTTAACAATTCTTCTACATTTACCTTAGTTGCGCGATTAATATTGTTTTGAGACATCACATCTAAACTTTTAGGCGCAATTCGAGAGAGAGGAGTTTTGGAAAGATTTACTAAAGTCTCATGACTATATTTATGGAGTCCATTATTGACACTTGGTTCTGTAACAACAAATTATATTATAAAATAACTCTTGAAGAAGGTAACATTTATACTGATCACAAAGAAAAATAACGAGGTAATAATTGAAACATATGCAAACTACATAACTGAGAATTATAAACTTCAAAGTGCTTCAAATCATAATATTGAAAATCATCATATTTAGTCCAGCAACTATACAGATTTTACACATTTGATCAAATAACTAGAATTCTACAAAGTAGAATAAAAAAATGGTATAAATACATTTTAAAATATCATGAAAATTCAACGCCTAATGTAATGTATTAAAATAGATTTGTCATTAATTTCAACTTTAATTCATATATTTTATACACATAACGTCCATAATATAGCCTATTTCCGACTGTACAATAATTTTCATCACAAGAGATATTGTATGAGATTATCAAATATTATATATTTTGTAAACAGTTATAGTGCAATCAAATTATTCACTTAAAAGTAATTTATTCACCTGGATAGTCCTTAAACTCCGAGGACTTCCTATGAAAATATTTTCTTCTTTCAATGGGTTTGCTTGGCGCTTCTTCGGAAATAGAGAATCCATTTCCTACATAAAAAATTAAAATTGATTAATAAGTCAATCAATAAAAATGATATTACAATTTAGTTCTAGTTATCTAGAGCAGTGGTCGGAAAAATGTGGTAAATTACTGTATTCGCTCCAGAGTTGTCCGTATGTAGGAAATCTCTCTTCGCCATGGGGGTAATGTCATCTTAGACAAAAATATTTCGGGGTAATGATTAAAAAGTTTCCCGACCGCTGATCTAGAGTATCGACATGATTTTAACCACGAGATTCTTGCTTCAACTAAATTATGAAATATCTTTGCAAAATCAAAAATATATCGAGGTAAAAAACTAACTTTCACTTTTTAACTTCACCAAGGAGATGTCTATGTTTCAAAAAAAAAAATCCGATAAGAAAATGGTTAAAAGCGGTGTTAAGGATTCCCAATGGAGGTAACCTGAACTGTTTTTTTTTTTGTAAGGATGTCGCATCGTCTCGTATTCCGATACGATGGACAGTCGCCAGGCCACGCGGACCGTCGTCTGCATGTCTTTCACACTTTAAAGTACAAATGCTAGTAATATAAGATATTTTAATTTTTGAGCTTAATTTATGTGTCTGGACCGTCTACATCCGCGTCGATGGTTTTTTATGTGTCTGCAAAATGACTTGAAATAAGTCTAAGAAATCATTCCCCTCAGATTTATAAATTAATGTAACCAGCCTCTTACGGGCGGGGCTAATATTGTTAATGTTAATTTTTAATAATTTTTATTTAGTATAAGTTTAGAGCTCAGTATAGAAACACCAAACATTTGATGCCATTATATTCATCATATTTTTTTATAATAAACATATTAATATCAAACGTCGCATTTTATTTAAATAATCACCGATCACACCAAGAGTTCAATTATAGAACAAATTTAAAAGTGTAGTGGTTAGGATAAATAAATCGACAACACCCAGTTAGACGTCGAAGTCACTTTTTAAGCTTCGCGCCTTAACAAGCGGAATACCACAAGGAACTGTTCTAGAACCACTATTATATTTGATTCATATTAACATCCTAACTGGAACAAAAAATAAACGGTGATTTAAAGTCCCATACACCGTGGCTAACGGAAAACAAAATAATAAATACAGAGAAAACTAACGTGAGTACATTTATTTCCAACAAAACAAAATGAAAAACTAGTGGTGTATGGCATCGTGCCTTAAGGCAAATTGCTGGAACTGAGCTTACTGTAGGAATTTGAAATGTTTTCAAATAGATTATTATAAATATTGTAACATTGTCTAATATTTATAAAAATTATATAAACTGAATTGCGTTTTCCCAAAACGGCTAGACTGATTTAAAAAATTTCAAAACCATTCAATGCAGATGAATAAGGATTAACGTTTATCACAATCAGCCGAGCCTGATTGATTAAATTCAAAAGATTTCGAAAGAAGATATAAGCTGGAAAACGCGATTATTAGTTTTTGGTAAAGATCGACCGGGCCGTTTCTTCGTAATGTGGAATTTCTTTTTATAATAATCTTGATAAAACAAGACTTTTGGTAAATCAATGAATTTTGTAGTCTGAAATAACATTCAAATATTGTAGACCTACAATAAGTGGTTGAGTTATAAAAATTCATCGAAGTATAAAATTTCGCAGTGAGCTTTAGCGATTCTAATCAGAATCTATGGCATATGTAAGTTCTATGGCGTTTCGTCGTACTTATTGATTACAGTTGACGACCACACTTTGATAAAATACACTTTTATAACACAAAATAAATTAAAAAAAATATGCTAAATAACTTAATTTAACAACTGCATGTATTGTAATTATGTTTAAAAGACATTAATTGGAAATCCTATTAATTATTTGTTTATAAATATTTCATGTAAATAGTTGAATCTCAATTTTCATTGATTAAGTTGATAATGTATACATAACAGGAAGTTCATGCAAGTTGTGTTGAAATAAAATGCTACTTACAACTAGTAATAATTTTTGAATTTAGACCCCTGAATTTCCATTCATTAACATAAACATTATCAGAAAAAAAATGTATATAAGAAAACTTACCAAAGCCATCAGTAATTTCATCTATCATATCAGATTTGGCAGTAAGGAAAACTTCGCCATTTTCTACATTATTTTTATTTGCAGTTTCAAAATATGTATTAGAAAAGAATTTATCCAGCTCTAATTTGGCAGCCTATAATATAAAATACATTTGTATTCATTATGATTGATTTTTATAAATAACAGATTAAAATAAAAAAAATGTCAAAAAAAAAAATAGTATTAAAATCTATCTGAACATCAACTACTACTTTCCTAGTAAGGCTATTACTTTTATACTTTTATCATATTCACATATTTTTCCTGATTTATCAAAAAAAAAAAAAAACTTACAGTAACATAATTGAGACATGTTCCTGTGATTTTGATAACTTCATTTCCGATAATAACAGAGTATTTAAATTCCTCAGGTGCACATTCACTAGCAGAACGATTTCGTGAATATTCATAAGTATTGTCATCCTGATTAGCCATAATGGAATTTCTTACATCCGGATCAGGTTCATAATCACCGCCTCCAAGTAGTGCAATACATTCAGGTGATCGGACAGGAGATGCATTGCGGCGAATCGTTTCTTCTATCAATTGCTTGCCATAGCTACAAAAATTGTAATTAACTACATTCTTAAAAAAAATATATATTTATTCAAACCCAGCAGAAGATATAAATATTATTGAAATTAATATAGTTATATATATATATATATATATATAATATATATATATATATATATATATATATATATATATTATAACAACTCACTTAATTTTTTCCTCTGATGGTCCTGTAATCTGGACTAGTCTTTCTTTCGCTCCTGGATTAACTGCAAAAGAATTGCACAATTTCTTATTTAGAATTATAAAAAAGGAAATATTTAAGAATAACAGTTAATGTTAGCGCTGGCATTCTGCTCATTCCCATCAAATCTGCTTCTATTTTTATTTTTTTATTATGACTCATCATAAAATTAACTACCACCACATGCAATTAAATGATATGATGTTTTAAGAATAGTAGTTGATTACAAACGTTTAAACCAAATAATAAACCTATTTAAATAAGATGCAAGTATTAATGTCATTGCAAAACTATATTATAATCCTCAATTACATTTATTCAAAAATGTAATAAATATATGAAAATATACAGATGAAAATAAATGTTACATAAAATATAATTAATTAAAACAAGCAATTAGTAAATGCTGAATTCCTTGCGTTAACACCACATCAAAATTACCTCTTTGAAAGGAAATTATCGTCTCACTTAATTCTTCAATCATATGGACTCTTCTCCCTTTGATTCCCATTACTACAAAATAATTCACACACTAAATTCATTATTCGTAAGTTATATAATTTCGAATATATCTTTCATCAAATAAAACAACAGCTTCTTAATTAGAGAAATATACCCAAGTAAAATATAGTAACAAGGACAAATAGTAAATAGAAATAATTAAACAAAAATATCCAAGGATAGATAAACAGATCGTAACTAATAGAATACAAGCCTACAAACAATTATAGAAACTATGTGGCACCTTGAGAAAATAGCACAAACAATTTTATAAATACTTTCTATTTTATATCATGTCACATAATTTGCTTATTGTCAGATTATATAATACCCCATATGCATAAAAAAAAACTAATTGTAATCAAATAAATTAATAATAATTATGATGATAATTCATCAAAAATTATAATGAGAATTTGTAGATAAAAATGAAGTTAAAACAAAACATTTAATATAAATCAATTTACCTTTTCCCGAATCTGCATTTCTTATTACAACTTCATCTTTAAAATAATTCTTGCCCTGTATCTTTGTGGGTTTATTATATTTTCCAGAAGCTCGTACTACTTCACCTTGTTCTAATAATTGCTGACCAGGAGCTATATTGCTAAATGGTTCTGGTGAAGTACTGAGAATTACTGGCTCTATAGGTGATGTCTGAATTAAACAGATATATATTTTAATAAATATTAATAACTATAACAATAAGCATAAATATTAAATTCCTGATTTAACTTAAGCAGAATGTCACATTTAAATTATTTGATTAGATATAGGTAATTACAGTAGCAAAAGATAAAGCATTAATAAAATTTTACAATCTGTTTAGAGGCACTTAAAATCATTTAATGAATCTTTCTATATTTAATTTATTTCTCTTATCTATGCTTATGTTTCTTGGACATTCGTATTATATAAATTAGTAGTATAAACAAGTTCGTCATTTAACATGCACTTTCAGCTAAAATTGTACTTCAAACAAAATATTAGGTGAAACTATAAATTTTATTTACTTTAGTTATATTTTCAGAAAAATATAGAAGATTTACATAGAATAATTTATATCTAAAAACTTGAAAACTTCCAACTATTGTGTTGTGTCAGTAGGTTAAAAATAGATTAATTCGTGTCATATAACAATATTTTATGACAATAGGGTAAAACATAATGTATAATATATTATAGCATTCATTAAATAATAAAAAGAATTACATACACCAGGTTTTTGAAACTCATTAGTAAAAATGTGACTACTTTGACAGAAGCTATAAAATGGATTATGACTACTAATAATACATCTTACCTCTTGAATTTTTGAAACTTTAGGCCGATAATAAGAATTAACTCCATCTGTACATTTCCATCGGTTTGCTCTTAATTCTACCAATTGCAATAAAGGCAAGCGAATATTATAATTCAGATTATCGAATTGTAATACGTTTCGAAACATAAAAAATATTTTATCCAGAGAATCTCCATAATTCACTTCTAATATGGGGCCACGCAACTTTAGTTGATTACTCAGCCACATCAACTCACAAAGTGAACTTTGATCCGTAGGATTCGTTAATATAGTGTTCGATAGTGTTTCAGCAAATGATATAAGATATTCATCTAATGAAAAATAAATAGCATTAGAATAAATAGTACTAGAATGACTTGCATACCATTACCTGTCACTTGATTATCCTGTGTGCTCATAGTAGATTTTTGAGCTGATTTCAAAGGCCGTGGTGGCTCGATGTTTTTACGATTTTTTGTGATGTTAGCCATTCTAAAATACAGATATTATTTTTAAATCGCTTAATTTGAGATTACTTTTGTTTGTTGGATACGCTTACTTTGATGAGTGAACTATAACCCAAATTCGCTGGCGTTCTACAATATGTCTTGCCGTGTGTTTAAATCCTGTAATAAAACAAATCAATTATTATCTTTTGTATAACAAAAGCTCTCAAGTAAATCTTTAACTTACCTAAAACACGAAGACTATAATTTTTTGAAGAACGACCAGCGAAAATAAATGAAAAACTTAGCAATTCGTGAGTGACCCGAATTGCAAGTCTGTCAAATGTAATGGAAAATAAAACGTATCGCCAACAACACAGTGAAAATGCAGGTATATCAAAAAAGAACTAACATATAAACAATACTTATGCTTATACTGTTGGTGCATCTGTACAAATATTGCGCAATTATAGGCATCTGGCAACTCCTTTTTCATTGGTTGGCAACCTAAATGTTAAGCTATGAATTTTCAATGGCGCGAAATTTCAACAAATTTAGAATTCAATTATTTTTAAAATATTTTAGTAGGAAACAATTTCCTTGAGGATTTGTACACTGTCTAAGTATAATATTTAAATAGTATAATATTTATAAATCTTTGTTTTATTCTTTGATGTATATTAAATATCTATTAATTATGTAGCACAATTATAGTGTTTTTAATACATTTTATGTTTTTGTATTTTTCCTGGTTTGATTACTGAATGGTGACACACATTAAGTTTCAAAACGTTTAATTCATTTGTCTTATTAACATTCTTCTAATTTGACCATTAGGCTGCAAAATAGTTCAAATATGTATCAACGTCAACAAATCTATATATATATATATATATATATATATATATATATATATATATTTATATATATACATATTATATATATATATACACATACATATAATTATCTCAACTTTAGTTGTGTATAAATCAAATTGATATACACATTTGTACATTGCATTTAGATCATATAAATAAAATATATTATTTTCTGAAAAAAAAATTAAGTCTCAATTTCATAATTTCACTCAAATTTCACCCTTGGTCTTGCTCAGCTAGACCGAAATGCAAAACTATAATTTGATAATATAAAGAGGGTAAGAAGATATTAGTCGATAAAATTCATTTCAACAAATTTGATTAAAGGTTGAATCGGAGTGGTCTTGAATCTATTACATGAAATAGCCTCATATAAGTATTGCACAATCTTCGTGCCCTTTCTAGATTTTTTAAAATAGGTAGAAAACATTATTTACATAAATTGTAACTTTATTATGAAGTAATCCAAATGAAAAAATGCATTCACAATAATTAATTATATGAACTAAACTAGTAATTAATTATATGAATATTTATAATTCATTTTACACTATTATATAATAAACAATATTTATATACCTACAACATTTAAATGACTTCATAAATGAGCAACCTTATCTATTCGTTGTTCACGTTTTTATTAAATGATAAAATTATTTAGTATCACAGTTTTGTTTCAAATTTTACTATTATATACAAATAGCATGGATATTGCTATTAAAAGTGATTAAAGAACAAAATCTAAAAATGTTAAAGTTCCTGCTTTTCACTGATTTTAAAATTATTTGCTAAAGAATCAATTAAATTTGATATTTCAGTAAAATAACCTTCATTATGATCGCTATCTGTTTTTTCTTCATCAGCTAGATTTGAATAAAAGATTGATAAGTCATGCAAAGAACTTTTAAATGAATTTGTAAGTGGCATTTTATTTTGACAAAAATTCCGAGATCCATCCAGAGCTTTTAACAATTTTTCAATATTGTCATGGTTTCCCAAAAAATAATTTTTACTGTTAACAATAAGCTGTTCAATATTTCTGCAATAGTCAACTGTCTTTAATAAATCAGCTAGATTTACAGAAGAAGCATTCTCATCGCTTAAATCTTGTAATAAAGTGATTAACCGCAGCTTTACTTTCATATCATGTTCATCAAAATCATTCAGAACTTTTCTTAAAATTGAACTGCCGACTTCGATTACAAGTTTTTGTTGCGCATGCGGAAAATCTCTTACAAGACAACCTAAAGTATATAATGCTTTATTTTTAATGCCATTTGAACCATGTTCTACAAGTTTCAAGATTTTTTCTCCTATTCCATATTCAAAAATTAACTGTTGAACTTTTTTATTGTTTTGCATACAAGCTGCTACAAGTTCCAGTGTTTGCATGGTGATTTCATCTGTGATATTGTCCAAATTTGGTATTACGATTAACTCTATACCTCCATGCTTTAAGAACTCCAGTCCATTATCAAATTTATGAACAAGATATTCCAGATCTTGAAGTATTGACAAAGCTTTATCGATGTTTACATCTGTTATAACTTCTAAATCTTTATACTCCTGAAGTAATTTAATAATAATTTCTGACTCAGTTTTAACCTGTACATTGTTATTTTTCATTAGGTCTTTCAGTTCTTCCATTGTTCGAAATTTCTGTTTTATTTATCATCGTGTGATGGATTCTCATTTTTTATATTCTGCAAAGCTTCTTTCAATTCTTGGTTATTAAATTTAGATTCATTCTCAATATTTTCATTTTTGGTGATTGATAAAGCATTTGATTTATTCTCAACAAGTAGTTTTGCTTCCTTTAATCCTGTACTGAGGTTTATTCGAATATGCAAACCTTGTGGAATCACTTGGCCTTTAAATAAATATGCTTTTAGAAAATCATTCTGTAGCAGCATGAGAAGTATCAAATTTAAAAAAAATGAATACAATAATAAATATTAAATGATTTTTTAGAAATACAAGCACAAGAATTCTATTGTTATTCGGATTTATGTGAGCTTTATATTGGGAAACACACACACATATATATATATATATATATATATATATATATAATATGTATATATATATATATATATATATATGTATAATAAATAAAATATTGAATAAGTCTATATTGAACATAATATATACATTTGAATTATTCCTAACCTTCTTTTACAACTTGCCATTCATTCGTAGCAATGAACGTAGAAGAGTTTGTTGCATCTTTTCCGAGTGTTATTCCACAAAACAGGAGTATCAGAAAACACTTCATTTTACTTTTTAACATACAAAATCTATACATTAATCGACATTCAATTGAAACAATATTTATAAAGCAGTACTGATTTCAGATTTACTGAGTGACAGTTGTGTTTGACAGTTTACACGTCAACCGGCGGCACGTGGACCAATCACGAAGCAAGAACGCAAGAACTACGTCCTATATGAAAGTGCTCAGTGGTACCAACCTTTTTGTACTGCACCCCCCGTTTTTTTTTAAAAATGCTAGCCCTCATTATTTTCTAACAATCTAATTTTCATGATATCAAATTGACTGTTTTGTACATATTCGAATCCCTTGCAG